TATTCTCAGATACTATAACTAATAATGTCCGACTATTTGGTCGGATAGTAAAAAAGTGCCAGATACCGGATATTTTTTGGATATCCAATGCATCCCTTAACTTAAAATAGATTTGCCTAATAAATAAAAATTTAATGTGAGGCATAATTGTGCAAAGATATACCTAATATTTAACACTGGCGGTTCAATCAGGTCTAAGCTTTCGTCGGAGGGGAAAAAAATCCTCCGATTTTCGCTTTCCTCAGACGAATCTTTTTTTCCATTTATTTTATTTCTTTCATCATTTTGATAATTTTGACGGGCAGACTTGAAATCCGATCCCATCACATAATACCCAAAAGCACTCGGCGCAATAATGGAGCCATCGTGTTATTCGGCCAGTGGAGAAGGCATACGCGGAGTTTCAAATCGAAACGGTCGAGGAAGGAGAACGACGGCCTGAAGGTGGGGGCCGCAGGCAGGGTGGCATCCCCCGGGACTCAGAAATCCGTTTCTGGGCAAACTGTCTTGCGAGTAGTTCGTCGGATAGTTTCGGATCCAGATTCCCGGGAGTTAAGCCAAACCGCCTTCTCAAGCGAGACGACGCGAGGATCATTCCCTCCCCATTTCCTGATCTTCTCTTTTCCTCTTTGATAGTGCGACAGTGGTCCCGATGGCTGAAATGAGATCCGTTTGCTACTCCTAGTTACGGGAATAACGCACCGAGGCCGAATTTATGACGGCTCGGGTCAAATAAATCGCGGATTATACGACTTGACGAGCACTTTGAGAAGCTTTCTACGTCCCTCCGGTCCCCTCTCTCTCTGACGCACGACTTTGTGGAATTTATCACCATTTAACCCATTTAACCCTTTCGGAAAAGTTTATGTGAAATATCTGCATCTTTTATGAGGCATTTATCCTTATATGATTATAGACTGTAATTTTTTTTTAAACCTTTGAGGTGAATCTTTCATTTAATGATACTCTCTTATTTGAAATGAAATAAACACAGACTTACTAATTAAAGAACTTTTAGATTGCATGTATATTACTGAACTGACAAAATTGACTTTGATTTAGTTTGTTCCTTATTACTTTTCAAACTTTGAAAATTAAATAGAATTGTGTGTAAAGAGTTTTTTAGAATACAAAATTCATTTACAATAAATTTATTTACAGTTTTTCAGCACATTAACATTTTTCTAATATGATGCCCGATCAAATTATATTAGAAATTGCTTGACAATTTAATTTAATTTGTGATATTATTACAGTAGTTTAATTGCGTTTATAAGTTCGGAAAATCAACTCGGTTCGAATGACTGGCAAATATAATATATATATGCAAGTACATATATAGTATATATATATA